AAAGGGACAGCGACAGCTCCATGACACAATCTGCACTTTGTGGAACTGTCCAAGAAAGATCTTTCACTGAACTGATCCTCTCTTGACCGCCTTTTTATCAGTTTGTCAGGCGTTGGCCGCAGCAGCAGAGAAGAGGCGGGGGGTCGATGGGTAAATGCCACAATTTATTGGCTCAGTATTTGGCCTTAATGCAGTGTTATTGATTGGCCGCCAGGCGTAGCACATAATTTCCGGCTACTGCATCGAGTGTTGAGTTGATGACTCCGATTCTCGGCTGGAGCAATGGCTGTGGCAGTGGCAGTGGCATGGCCATGGAGCAGGGCATTCACATTGGCAACATGTGGGGATGGATGCTGGCACTGGACAGCGACTTAGACTGAGACTCTTGGCCAAAGACTGCTGACGCAATCAGCTGACGGAATCAGAATTCTATAAATGGCAGCTAGAAATTGCGTCATTTGAAACAATTAACAAACAAAAAGTTGTTTGCCGATAATGATGCGAGAGAAGTAGAGGCAGGCAGTGGAAGCAGCAGGCTGAAGCGAGAACGAAATGGCAATTTGCGCTGGCAGCATATACAATTGACAGCCACTGTGTACACACTGCAGACTGAAAGCGGCACGAAGATGCCGCCGCCGCCAGATACCAACCAGGGCGTGCAGATCACTTGAGGTTGGTGGTGTTCCTGGTGGCTGGGCAGTAGCTGGAGAGGGAGTGGGAATGGATCTCTAATATCCCCAACTAAATGCTTTACAATTATCACATTTGTAGCCAGTTTGTGGTCCCAAAACGGGTTTAGTTCTCCACCTGATCGCTCTCTCTCTCTCTCTCTCTCTCTGTCTTTCTATCCCACTGTTGTGTTCGCACTTTGATGGATTTATGCGGCAACATTGACACATTGACACTGCTTAGCATATTGGTGGAGCCATTATCCATTAGGCCGTGGCAACACCCACAGCGACTCCAAGTGGCGCTGACCTCCACCTCCTGTTCGTGCACCTCCTGCCTGCCCCGTTTGCAGCCATGTACCATTCCCATCTGCAGTTGAGGTTTTCTAATTTATTTTGTATGCATGGCCGTTAAGTGTAATTGGTCATTGAAAAGGATGATGGGGCCCCACCATAGCGGTGGGGCCTAGGAAAATTACCAGTATTTCCTGTGCCCCAGCCCCCAAGATTGATGATAATCGTGCGTCGTGTGTGTCAAGTTAGTGGCCCAAGCCAGGTCTGGCCTGGCCAGGCAATTTCACTCGATAAGAGACGGAGGGGACCCGCAGGCACAACGAATTATACTCGCACAGAGGTTATTTGCTATCAGTCGAAGTCTTGTCATAAATGTGAAAGTCACAAATGGATTAAACCCCCCTGCTGCTGCCGTAGCACCCCCCTCCCCCACGTGAGTGAGGATCTGTCTCCCCGTTTACCGTTTAGTGGGAAGAGTAGATGGACGCCTCCAGGCCTAACACTTCCCAGCTGTTGATCCACAGAGTATACCGAAAATACGAGTAGTTTGCTGATCGCCCAGATGTACCTAGTTCTAGTTGGTGGTGCCGATGCCACCAGCAGCCGAAGTCGAAGCCGCAGCCAGAAACGTGACTGGAATCCCACACAGAGACCAGGAGACAGAGTCCGGGAGACATTGAGTCAGACAATTGCATAATCTAGCCACGGCCATGGCCACGGCAATTGCCATTGCAATTGCAGTTGCACTTGCAGTCCCAGACACAACATGGAGATGCATTTGGAGTTGCCACACACAAACACAAACACAAACACACACACAACTCATGAAACAATTGTTGCCACACTGCTTGTGGCTGCAAGAGTACATCAAGAGAAATTAGACGAAAATTATTCACAATTTACTTACATATATAAACGGCAGTGGGAGTCATCTGTATGGCAGTGCGAATTATCTATGTATACATACAAACATATGCATGTATGAAGGAGCTGCATTATGAAAGCTTCAGCAGCAGCCGAAAGCTCAGATCACATGCAAGCAAGCGCTGACGTAAATAAACGCAAATAAGCAGAGCGCAAGCTTTAACGGGAGAGAGAGAGAGAGAGAGAGCTTGTGATACTATGTAGATTAATTAGCAAAAGAAAGTTTGCGCTCGATGGCATTTATATTTTAAACTATTCAACACGAAACTTAGCTTTCAGTTGCTACTGCAGACAGACCTAACTACAATTTCTCTTAGTGCAGACCAGCTGAGCAATGAGCAGTAGGAGGAGGACCGGTGGAGGCTGAGTGAACTCTTCCCGAGTGCCGAACGAGTGGTAGAAGAAGGCGGAGAAGATGTCTTTCCCACCTTTCACGACTACTCTTCTTCCACCCAGCAGCAAAGAGTGAGAGATGCAGAGGGAGGATGGTAGACACACAAACACACAAACACACAGAGGGAGATGGAATGAGAGGGAAGCTGGCGATGACTGAGGCAACAAAACGATGCCATTTGCATGGCAATGATTTGGTTATTTTGGCCCAAGGTGAATTTTCACCTCCCTCCTCTCCTCTGCACCACATTCACCAGGCCTGACTTGTTGCGGCTTGGCGTGGCTTGTAAACGGTGTTGCACGTTGCAATTGTCGGTTGTTGTTGTTGTTGTTGTTGTTGTTGTCGCTGTTGCAGCAGCGGCAACTGTTGTCTTATTGATTTGTGCATTCATTTGATTGTGCGCGCGCATTTGTTGCCAAATTGTTTGAAGGAGAGCCGTGGAACATTGTCGTGGCTGCTGATTGTGATATGAAGGAGGAGCCTGAGGAGGAGACTGCTGCCGACTCCTCCCCTGAATCCTGTCCTGTCCACAGTCCATCGCTGGTTGATGGCCCACCGAATTGGTGGCTGCCCCTGCCACCGCGATATTTCATAGCCCCACTGCTCTGAGGTTCTTTTCCACGGAATTTCGCTACGGGTCATTTTGCTTGTAATGTAATTTCTTTTAAATTTATTGGTAATGGAAATTTATGCCAGGCCGCAACGATTGCGGTACAACTCATGCTGCTGGAGGGAGGAGGGAAGCGGAGGAGGAGGAGCTGTTACAGGGGCAAAGACAGAGACAGACACACAGAGGCATGTTCATGCATGTGGCACGTTTTGCTGATTTGTCATGTTCACAGGTTAAATGCTAATGCCCGAATCTGACTTCGATCCAACTTCGGCCGCCCACTCCAGTCGCTTTTCAATCTGATTCGAAGAGCGTCAGAAGCCCGTTTACTTGCTCCCCTCACCAAATGTGGGTTAAGTGGTTCTGTCTTTGGTCCTTCCTACCTTTGCTCTCCATGGCTGTGGCAATGGTTTAGGGTTCTCTGGTTCTCTGGCTCTCCGCTCCCAGTTCTCAGTTCTCACGAGCTTGGCCCATAAAAATGGTGTCAAATAAATTGTAATCAGCGGCGGGCAATAAAAATTCAATCAATAAGCGAACACCAACTCAAAATTCAATTATTTCGCACCCAAGTCGCAGACCACAGACCACACCATTTGGAGGCAAACAGCTTCATTCGGTCTGGTCCTGCTTCGGCATCGTCATTGGCATTCCCCAGTCTTGGTCATCGTTTCGTGGGCGTCTCTCTGCCCAGTAGACATCGACAATGAGGGGTATATTGGTTTCTACAGAGAGAGATTTTTCTCCTGAAATAAGATTCTTGTATATTTTTCTTATCCCCTCAGTGCAATGGATTTCTTCCATGTCTGCCCTAATTGGCAGGTCCATCAAGCCTTTTCAGGGCCTCGTCTCCGGCATCCTCAATGCACTCCTAATGCCCTCTCATTTGTTTTTGTTTTATTGGCACGCAGGAGCGGATCTGTGGCTTCCTCCTCCATCGTCTGTTCTTGGCGGAAGTCATTCCCCGCTTTGTGGTTTTCCTCATTTTCATTGCTCGAGGCGCCGCTTGCTTTACGCCCACCTTGAGGCTGCTACTCCGATTACACAAAAGGCACAGGCGGCGCCCCTTCCGTTCTGCCAGAACCGGGGGCGCCAACAGCAACAGCCACGGCCACTGCAATTGCTTTTTTTTTAATTACCAGTGCCCAGTGCTTTTCCCCGATCTCATTGTTTCCAGCGGATTTCACTCTTTTGTTGGCTAATTAAAAGCGAATCATTGCATGGCCATGAATCCGAGAGAAGCCAAGAGACTGCGAGAGAGAGAGAGAGAGAGAGGGGAGGGCTGCGAAATTCCGATCTGTGCACTGAAATTGTGAAATTGTTAGATTCGTTGTGCCATTAGTACGCAGATTAAGTAGTTAGAGTCAATTATTTAAATTAGTTTTGCCGTCTGCAGTAATCTGCTCTGCCCTCCTGCACGGCACTGGTATCCACCGATCCAGATCCTTGCCGGCTAATGGGTTCGTCGGCAGAGAGAGAGAGAGAGAGCATTTAAGCCGATAATTTTGTGGCATCCTACACATGTTCGACGGTAATAGGATTTTGATTGCCGGCCCCTGGATGGCCTGGTGTACTCGGTCTGAAAATTATGCCACAGCCCGAGAGACCGAGAGACCAACCGACCGACCGACCGACCGAGGCGCACCGAACTAAACCAAAGCAGTGTGTGAGTGTGTCTGGGGCCTAATGCCAGGTTTTTGCTTTCCACCAGCCTCGAAAAGCAGCCCTGCGGGTCCATTAAGCCAACTCAATAAAAAAAAAGAGCAGCTGCAAGAGAGAGAGAGAGAGAGAGAGAGCGCGATAGAAGGGGCGCAAAAAAAACAAAAGACTTTTGCCACAAACTCGCTCCAATAGCAGCACATGGCAATTATGTTTGGCAATTGTTTAGTGTTAGTGCTGCTGGGTCCATCTCGTCAATGTTCGTCCACACGTTCGTCCGTCTGGACGAAGATGATGATGATGATGATGATGGTGGTGGTGGTGGTGGAGAAGGCGTTGCCCGTTCCAGGCCTAGTCCAGTTCTGACCATTGACGACATGCTAGCCCACTTTTTAGTATACGAAGAATGCTGGAAGAAAAGCCACAATTTGATTTCCATTTTCGCTGCTTTCAGGCTCCCACAAGGTGCACTGCTCAGAGGATCAGATGAGGGTGGACATTGGCCTGCCGGCCGCAGAGAAGGACCAGAGCCCAGCACAGATCTACCTGGAAGGTCTCAAGGGATATCCAGATGAGCGCTGCCAGCCGCAGATCGATGGCTCCCTGGCCGTCTTCCGTCTTTCCCTCAGCGACTTCTACGAGTGCGGAGTCACGCGCATGGTCAACCAGTTAACAGTGCGTCTCAGCCATGGATACATGGTTAAGTTCAATCCTTAACTCAGCTCCCACATTCTGTCTTTTAGGGCAAGAAAGTGTACTATCATAAAATCATCATCGAATCGGCCAGCAGCAAGGAGATTGTCAGCGTCAAATGCATCACCACCACCAGTGGTCCCGTCTATAATGTCATGATGAATGCCACCAGTACCACGACCAGCGCCAGCGCCAGCGTCAACTCCAACTCTAACTCTGGACGCGGCCTGGTCAAACGCGATGTGCTGCCGGCGGGTTTCCAGGAACCAGAGTGAGTTTTTGGGCTCCCGCTCCCGCTGCGGCTGCGGCTGCGTCTGCCACTGTTGCTGCCGCTGTCTCCTTGCAATTTAATTGCTCATAAAAAATAGCATCTATGCATATTTTTATGAGCAATCTATGCACAAGTTTATGGCATATTAAATGCCCCATTTCAGCCCAGTGCCCAGTGCCCAGTGCCCAGTGCCCAGTGCCGTTCCAGGCTGCGATTGGTACAACTTCAAGCTAAAAGGGCCATAAATCAAACCTATCCCCGGTCTCCCCTTCAGCTCCCTGTCCGTACTGTCTTGCCAGGAGGTAATTAGCCGCCAAATCGATGCCGGCGGCTTCATATGCGTTAATACCTCCACAGTCAATTTAATTGCGGGGCGTGTCCAGGCCTCAGTCTCTGTCTCTGAGCCAGCCTCTCCTCCAACATCCAAACCGATCCGATCCGATCCAATACAATGTTTGTTTTTCATTGCCCGGCGTTGATTTACAACCACCTTTGGCGGGAGTCCGTGCCTGTCCGTCTCCATGGCTGGGCGTCGAGCATCAGCTCATTACGAACAGAAACCCCCTGAATCACAATCGCGGGAACTCAACCAGTTCTGTCTCATTCGACTGCTTTGCAGGGATCTGGAGATCACCACGTCGCTGACCAAACGAGCCCCAGAGCCGCGTCTCTCCATTGGCGTTAGCCAGGATGGCCAGAAGTTTACCAGAGATTTGACAGTCAAGTCGGTAAGTTGCAGAGAAATCAAAAGTCCTCGCAATTGTATAATTGATTTAATGCAAAAACCATTCAAAGGGAACTCCTTTGACCATGGAAATCAACTTGGACGAGGACTCGGCACCTGTCTATGGCTTGGGTGTAAACTATCTGGATGTCACGGACACGCACACCTCCTCGGAAACATTGATCTTCAAAGGGTAAGTCCGTTTCCGGACAATGCCTGCATCCGTTCATGACATTCTCCTTCGCCCCTAGATGCACTGTGGATCCCTATCTGTTCGAGAACTTCAACACCATCGACGGCGACATTTTGAGCGCCAAGTTCAAGGCCTTCAAGTTTCCCGACTCCTCGTACGTGCAGTTCCGAGCCACGGTGAATGTGTGCCTGGACAAGTGTCTGGGCACGCAGTGCTCCAACAACCAAGTGGGCTTCGGCAGACGCAAGCGGGAGATCAGCTCGGCGAATAAGGTCTACGAGATTTCGTTGGCCATGTTCCTGCAGGTCAACGACATCGAGGGAGTCAACAAGAGTGAGTTTGTGCGATTTGCATTGCTCTGTGGAGCTTCTTGCTAATAGTTTTTGATTCTGCTCAACAGATGAGGTCCTGCAGCTGGAGGAGAAACTGCGGGAGTTGAAGCTGGCCAATCAGCGCCTGGCCCGCAACAGTCGCGGCAACTTTGTCGGCAGCTCTGTGGAGCAGACGCCTGCCAGCGCTGTGCCCGCCTTTGTGGTGGACGAGCGAGAGCTAGGACATCTTAGTTCGAGTGCGGCCGGTCTGTCCCTGGCCTGTGTCTGGACGCTTCTCTGCGCCCTGAGTTGGCGGCTGATGTAAAATCCATTGGCCCACAAACACACCCACACACACACACACACACACACGGACAGGGCGAGCTGTAAATCTCTCAAGTGGCTGGCGAGCGGAAGAGCGAGGAATGTTAATCAGGTTGGAATTGCGTGCAGAGTGGCAATGAAGGAAGGAAGGAATATTAATGTACTACCTACTACTAATATACACCTATACAACTTTGTGTAACTGCCATTTACAAAACGTAATTAACTTTAAATGAATGCGGTAAATTAAGTTTTCAACGACTTATGGCAGGCAGGCGACAGACAGACAGACAACAGTGATTCTTATAAAAATACACACACACACACACTTAAATATATATACACACATAAAAACAGATTTGGAAAAACGTGAACTCGGTCTAACTCGTAAGCACCTACTAGTCTCCTAAGTGTAACTGTTAAGCTAATTTAAATAACGACTAAACCTAAATGAATTAATGAAATAAACGAAACTCTGAAAAGTTTGAGTTCATTGTATATTTACGGTATATCTGTCTATAATGGTAAATTTAAATTCCATTAAATTCCATTTCTAAGGTACATTCAATAATGCCCCTCAAGGAGTTTCTCTCTTTTCCTTGGGGAATTTTCTCTCTCTTTTAAAGGGATATTTCTCTTTCGCAGCACGGGAAACGCCAGCAGCATGTTGCGTAAAGTGAGCAGCAGTGTTCCCCAACATTTGGAACGGAATAAGCAACATTTAGTACCATTCGATGGATGGATGTCCTCGAATTGAGGAAACCTCAGGCTCCAATCAATGCAATAACAAGTCAATCCGTGTTGGAGATTTATCGCAACGAAATTCAACAGATTATAGATATCGATTATTATCATTATCATTATTAATGTTTGAGAGCAGCTCTGAAAATAATATTTTATAATTAATTGATGTAATTAGGGTATACAATGGACATTCTATACAAAACCTACCGGTTGACAAGCAACAATTTGTCAACTACGTAGCAATCCATTTTCACGTACGTAACGTTTTATGCTACTTTTGTTGGTTGACCATTTTAGTTTTAAACTTAATTTGTAAACATTCCAACAAAAGGAAGTCGTGAAAACTAGCCAGTCTTGTGGAGAAATGATCAATAAATTGGATGAAATTATAGTTTAAGCACGGAGAGTTTTAACTAGCTAGTAATGTTGAATAGAAAAGCAAAATCTAAACAAATAATTTAAGATTTACGGTATATTTACAGTGTATTTTGGAAATGCATTGGTATTTTGTGGTATATTCCCGAGGGTCAGTCGGTATATTTGATCGATAATTCCGCGGTCACACTGCGTACAACTGGCGTTTGCATAGTTTATTTTTGTTTTTGTAAACTATGCAAACCGAGTAATTTCCAGTTTCCAGCAAACAATACTACAGCTGGCAATTGTAGAAGAAAGGAGCAGCTAAACAAAGCACCAGAGGCAACCAGAAACTGGAGTCCACCAGCTGGAGTGAGCGCTGCATAAAGTTCTCGTACCACCTGACAACGTGTAATTTCCGCAATTCGATTTGGCGAAAAGGTATTGTTTTGCCAGCCTGGCGGTCAGTCCACGACGACAGCAATGAGTCTGACGGTAAATGTAGCCAGCTTGCGCAGTGCCAGATGCTAATGCCCGATGCTGGACACGCTTTTTGGACACGGCTGCTCACCAAGAGGGCTCAACCAACACGACAACAGCTGCTATACAGGGCTTCCAATTCAAATTCCATTTCCACCGATAAACGGCAAAGCGAAACGCGTGACGATCGTCAGTTGAATGCCAATGCCAGAGTAGACAAGGAGTGCAGTGAACGCCCACCCACCAAACCCCCCAAAGATGCGATCACGCAAAGTGCTGCTTATAGTTGGATTTCTAATAACGTGGACCTACGCCACCTACTATCTACTGCTCCGCAACACCGGAGTGAACTTGAGCAGGACTCAGGCGCATCAGCTGTACCGTCTCAACGTCGAGGCGAGAGATGCTAACCACAAAAGTCACAACATGGCCGTGAATCTCTTCCAGTTGGTTAAAGCGAAGTATGAGCAAGCCCAGACGGTCTCCACGCCCCAGATTAGCATAGTGGCTGCCGAGATTTCAGGGGAGTTGCTGGATCAACATGTGGCAAAGCAAACCCTGGCGCCGATACCAACGAGAACATACATCGGCAATGGGGAGCCTGTCTTTCCCGTACTGGTATTTGCCTGCAATCGGGTGTCCGTCAAGAAGTGCATCGATAATCTGGTTCAATATCGTCCCAGCATGGAGCAATTTCCCATTATTGTGTCACAGGTGAGAAGGGGGGAAACATAAGTACAGCAAGCGGTTATTCATTGTTATTCTTGATTATTTTAGGACTGTGGCGATGAGGACACCAAGGAGGTTATCCTCTCCTTCGGTAATCAGGTGACCCTCATTGAGCAGCCGGACCAGAGCGACATCAAAGTCCTCCCGAAGGAGAAGAAGTTCAAGGGCTACTACAAGATAGCCCGACACTATGGCTGGGCTCTGAACACAACTTTTAAAGTTGGTTTCGACTTCGCCATCATTGTAGAGGATGACTTGAACGTGGCGCCAGATTTCTTTGAGTACTTCCTGGGCACACACAAGCTGCTCAAACAGGACCCAAGTCTGTGGTGCGTCTCCGCCTGGAATGACAATGGCAAGGCTGCTGTTGTGGACGCGTCGAAGCCAGAGCTGCTTTATCGCACCGACTTCTTCCCCGGCCTCGGCTGGATGCTCACCAAAGAGCTGTGGGGCGAGCTCTCAGTTAAATGGCCCAAATCGTGAGTCTACCAATTATACCGACACCATCCAATTGCTAATTGCCTTTAAACAAATTTAGCTTCTGGGATGATTGGATACGTCATCCGGCCCAGCGAAAACATCGCGTGTGCATTCGACCGGAGATATCTAGAACTCGCACTTTCGGGAAAATAGGCGTATCAAAGTAAGAGATAAGCGCCACAATTGTGGAAAGCGGTCCGTAACGAATGATTTATATGTGTTCTGTTTTGTTTATTTTCAGTGGGCTGTTTTTTGATAAGTATCTGAAACACATTAAGCTCAGCGAGGACTTTGTGCAGTTCACAAAAATCAATATGAGCCATTTGCTAAAGGTTTGTCCACTTGTGTATCCCTGCCTGAACTTGATAATGATTCGCATCTGTTTTAGGATAATTATGATAAGAACTTTGTGCAGAGTGTCTATACGTATCCCATCGTTACGTACGATGAGCTGCGTCGCAACCTGATAGCCGCCGAGGGACCAGTCCGCATCCAATACACCACGCGGGAGCAATATAAGCGGATAACCAAGATGCTAGGGCTCATGGATGACTTCAAGGTGAGTTCATCATGATATATTCATTCGCGTAGTAACAATCGTTTTGTTTTTGATTGCAGAGCGGGGTGCCACGTACTGCCTATCACGGCATCGTCTCGTTTTACTACAGCAAGCGACGCGTGCATCTGGCCCCCAATGCCAACTGGAAGGGCTATGATCTCTCGTGGAGCTAACGACGCTAAGAACAAACCTTACCAACACCCACAAACACACACCCACACACACAGCTAGGTGTGCTTGCAATACCAAAAAGTAGTCATATTTGTTTAGTTCTTATTTTGTTTGACCAACTAGTTAAGTTGTAACTATGGAATCTCCTTGAGCAGGCAGCGCTGCTGCACCACTGCATGCGAAACATAACAGAATCAAATCAAAAGAGTCTCCGCCATGTATACATAGCTTCTAATTACCTAAACTGAGGGGCTCTTGGGAAGCAAACGGAAACCCAAACGCAACGTACTAATATATTGTAAATAAGTCAGTGTTGTTTTGCTTTTGTTGGAGCTTAATAACTCTCGTCACTCCATTGCGTTAAATGCAATTAGCAAAGAGCTAGCAATAAGAAATAGTTCTAAGAGACAGGATAATAGCGAAACTTGGTGATCAAATGTGTTTCGATTATTTGTCATGCCCCCCCTCCGCCACCGAAAATAAGGTCTCGAATCCGAGTTACATACATATATATATATATATCTACCGATCTGGACAACAATTCACGATCGAATAGTTCTTAATTATTCTTCTGGTGTGGCCAATTAAATCGTTGTTTCAGTTGAACGAGTAGGAAATGACGGCTATTAAAAAGTAATACAAAATTCAATTAATTTGATAAGCGAATATGTACCGAATATATGTGAATCGGACGGGGTTTACTCTGTAGCCCAGAACAAACTAACTGTAACTTCAAATGCAATATCAATGGAAAGAGGTGCCCTGATGTATAGTGCGACTTCCAATATATTTGGAAGCTCTAGCTAAAACCCACGCGACTTTGTGTACGCGCTAACACTTTTCAAATAAATGTAAACATTTTTTTGTAATTCTTGGTATCTTTATGCACACATTTTATGTTGAGTCGTTGTGCCACCTGGGGTCAATATAGTATTGTAATCAACGATTTACTGGAATAATTTCTCAGCTGGTTGTGCTAATTGTTGCCTTTCAGCCCCTTACAATATGCACTTGAGTTGACGGAATGCGTTTAATCAGTCAATCTTATCATCAAATTGGGTTTCCCCAAGCATTAGGAATGTTTTCATTCTGTTTATTGAATAATTCATTACCGAATTCCCTTGGCATTGCTATTGACGCATAAGCAAAAGTATTGTAAGTACGTCATCGTTCGATTCCATCGACAGTTCGTCTCGCTCTTCCCTTGATTGGCTTTATGCGGGTTACAGTGCCAGCGAAAATGCTGAAAACGAGCAGAAAAGTGTTACAAGGTGGGTTGCGCACGCGTGCTCAGCCACCCGCAAGCAATTTGTGAGCCACACAATTGTCAATTTCACCTCAAGTTCTGATAAGCAATTGTCAGGCTACACTGACAGAAATGCATGCGGACATGTGGGGAGGTGTCACCAGATATTCCGTGAGAGGCAATTCTGAATCACATTCAATCTATACAAGTGGATGTCAGTGAGCATCCAGGTTTCATAATATGGGCCTCAGAATGTTAGTCATCCCAAGTGCTTGTTGTGCCTGGCAGTGTTCTCTTATCAGAGACTGAAGCTGCTGCCCTCAGCACTCGTAATTTTCGCTGTCATCACGTAGGGCCCAAGATCCGACCGAAGCTACCAGCGCTTAGAGGGACTGACGATCAGTTTCAGTTGAATGCAATCAGCCTGCGACAACACAACGCGAACGAAATGCAACTGTCGCTCACATTTCCGGTTATTTCGCTGTGGCTGCTGCTGGTGCTCACCGTTGGTGCACAGGACATAAGACCTGAGTATCCTGAGGATTTTCCACGGCCAACAACGGAAGAGTCCATCCTAACCACAGAAGAGGGTACGACAGAAGAACCTACGGCGTCCACTCCGATAGAAGAAGCTTCGACTCCAGCACCCGCAGAAGAAGCTACGACAAGTGCATCCACGGAAGAAGCTATGAGTGCAGGATCCGCAGAAGATGCAACGACTCCAGCACCCACAGCAAAACCAGCGACCACAACCAAAGAGCCCATCACAACAACGACTACAGAAGCTCCCACAACCACAAAGGCCACAGCAGCACCTCCGTCTTATATACCACCATACGCACCACCAACAAACGAATATCGACCTACTTACACCACCAGAAATCCTTGGATATTGAACGAGCAGGCTGAGCGGTGCTATCTGAAAGAGCAGAAGGACTACGGCAATCGGAATGGGGTCTGTGCACGTAAGTATCTGCTACGTATTGAAGGGAGAGTGGGTTCGGGGTCATTTTTGTTCATTCTGTTTGTGTTTTAATTTGCAGCTTGGGTCGCTGGCAGCTGGCGGCCGTCAATAAGCTGCTATCGCTGCTGTTACTTCTCCAGGCACAACGTGGCCGGTTGCAGTAAGCTCCATCGTGGACGCTGTGGCGGCTACTACTACTACTACTAAGTGGGGAAATCCCAATGGAAACAAACAACTGCTGTAACATTTCGAGCGAAAAACGGTTGTAATAAATACTTCGAACAGAAAGTAAATAGTAAATAAAGTGCAGCAGCTTCGAATCAATCCAGATTGTACACATTGCCGAGGTTGAGGAAGCAGTCCTTCAGGTGCTGCTGGCTCTCACAGAAATCGGGGAACGGTGGGGCCAGCACATCGTACATGATGCGGATAAGGTCGATGAATTTTTGAAGCGCCTTGGCATACTCCCCGGTCTCGTAGAGCCGCTTGCCGGTGCGCGTCATCATTTCCGTGTCCTGCATTACCTTGAGTCCTTTCAGAATGTTGGTCACCTCGCCGCAGGTCACACACTTCACAATGAAGTCATTGCAGCTGGGTGGCACTTCGATCACGGCAGCACAGTTGTTGGGCGCCTCGCAGCGGAAGCGGATCACGTCTCGGGGCAGGTCCTCGAACAGGGGCCAGTTGTCTATGCAGGCATCGCAGCAGCACTCGAACCAGTACAGCTCCTTCATCTTGGCCTGGCGCTCCTCGCGCTTGTCCTGCGTGTAGATCGGTCCGTAGTTCTCGTTGATGGGCAGGCCAGCCTCGATGGGTCGCACGCTGTTAATGTGGATCGTGGTGCCCCGGAAGTAGCGCACGACTCCGGGATCGCACGAGTGATTGAACAGGGCCAAGGTGGGATAGATGGCACCGCCAATGAAGATGGACTTCTCCCTGCCCGTAGAGCTGTACTTGTGCAGTTCTGCCACCTCGTGGGTGTTGAATTGAATGAACTGCAGACTGCGCAGCATCAGCGAGCAAATCGCTCGAACCTGCTCCGGCTGGGGCTCGGCGCCAAAGTAGCCAGAGGACTGCAGGCACTTGGTCAGGAATCGGGCCATCAGCACGTGCTGGAAGAAGTTCGACGCCTGCCGTTTGTCCTGATGCCGTTCCAGCTGGGCCACGCGTCGGAAGTCGTCCTTGGGGAGACTGAAAAGGGAGTTAGAATATCCGAATTAAGTTGGGAAACATATTGGACTCACCTTAGTAGCTCCTCTGGCGAGAGTTCCTTATCAATCGTTGGCTTCAATTGCAAAAAGTATTCCAACGGTTTGCTGGCAAAGATCCGCAGCGCAATGTGATTGTTGATGGAGGCACCCGATCGCCAGATGATGGGCACGATCCCACACTCGTATTTATGGTACTTCTTGGCCGCCTCATCCCGACACTGCTCCGAGCAGTAAATGACATCGGCGCACCGCGGACAGGCCACGGGAACCACACTCCTGGAGGGGAATGCTTGCCGTCAAATGATTTTCAACATATTCTCCCATCAACTCACCTCACAAAGCAGTTTTCGCAATGGCTCTTGGCGAATTTCTCCAGTAGGACGGACACAAAGGGACGCTCCACGAGCAGCTCCTCGCCGGCCTTCACATCGGCTGCGGCGCGGGCAAAGCGTCCCTCCTGCGGGTTGCGATCGATCCTCACCAGCGGACTCACATACTCCTTCTCGGCCGGGAGAGCTGTGGCCTGATCGAGGGCGATCTTCTGCTTCTCTTGCTTGGCCGCCTGCTTAGCCGTACGCGGATCTTGCAGCAGCATTTTGATCATGGTCATTGCATCCAGATTTAGCTTGGCTTTCTTGTCGGATGTCAGGGCGGAGTCGTCCATGGCTGAGATGCATTTTCTAGGGAACACAGATGAATGGTAGAGTGAGGCATAGCAGGAAAGGTGACGATTTGATCTTACTTGAAGGCTTCAATCGTGTGGGGATAATCCTTGAGGGCCATGTAGCAGCGAGCCCGTCGCTCGTACAGCTTGTAGATCAAATCCTTGGGGTAGCCCAGGTCGATGGCTCTCCTGATATCGATGAGGCACTCCCTGCAAATAAATCGGAATTAATTTTCAAGAACTTTCCTCTCTTCCGGTATATGCTTACTGATATTTCTGCATATGGTACAGAGTGGCAGATCGATTGGCCAGCACAATACAGATCTCAGCAGCTGTTGGAAATCGGTATTTAAGAAATATATTGCCAAATCCACTTTGGGTACGTCTCACCGTTCTCACTGGGCAGTGACATGTAGCTCCTGGTATAGAGCACCATCGCCTCCAGCCATTTCTTCGCCTTGAAGGCAGCCGTGGCGCGTTCCTTGATCTCCGCGGCCAGGGGGGCACTCTTACTATCGAATTCCGGCCTCACCAGCAGGTTGGCATCCCCAGACTGCACCCAGGGCAGCTGATCCACATAGGCCACGCGCTCCTCATCGCTTTTACACTCCGACAATTTGGATATATCCGCCTCGCAGCTGGCTCCGGCCCCGGCCTGCTCCCTTAGCTTCAGATAGTATTCGGCAAAGAAGCCCGTCTTCTGGCTGAGTGGAGTTTTCATTTTACTGTGTCAGTTTTTAGAGTCACAAATTATGCAAGTTTTGAATAGTTTTCGGTATTAGAGTACTCCCGGCAGAAAAGCTGCAGACAAACTGAAAGTGAAAATTCGGGGAAATCGACGACGACGACAACGTGTGGTATAAAGACAGCATTTTGGCATTTTATTTATAGACCGAAGAGAACGCCACCCAAATAACTAAAGAGCAGTGGGAGAGAACAAGAGATCGCTGAGAGAACGCATGCAAAGAGTGCACGGCCAGCGTTTGTTTACTAACAAATACCGTCTAGAAGCATCTACAAATCAACCCCATATCACTCGGGTATTAATTCGGTTCGGAACTGTAATTACCCTACACAAAAATGCTTTCAGAATTGATTGAAAGTTCTTAATTTGGGTTAAAAATCGGAGAACTACGGAGAAACATCATGCAGTAAAGTTGTCCCAATATCAAGTGTGTTGTATGGCGCGATCGGGTTATTCGCCTCTTTAGCTCAGTGGTAGAGCACTGGTCTTGTAAACCAGGGGTCGTGAGTTCAATCCTCACAGGAGGCAAGAATCATTTAAAATTAATTGATTTATATTTTCTTTTTTTGCAGATTAAAAATTAAACAACTGGTAAGATTTAATGTAATAGTGTGTGAGGTTATTGGATGGAGTTCAACGTATTACTTAGAAAAAATAAAGCAGACTGTTTTATATCGTTAAAAATAACAATACAAATATGTGCACAATTTTAAATATTAAAAAAAAATAACTAAAATAATTTGGATTTTAAAAAATTGCCTCCTGTGAGGATTGAACTCACGACCCCTGGTTTACAAGACCAGTGCTCTACCACTGAGCTAAAGAGGCTTGAGTGAGGCGCGTGGCAAAAGCAGCACATGAAGCTGGCGCCCTCTGGCTGCAGTGGCTGATGTTGCTATGCGCGGGTTGTTCAAAAAGTTTCAATTACATGCGAGAATTGAGTGCATGACAAAGTAAATTAATGTTTGCCTTATCTGGGAATCGGCACTTGAGTCGAGCAGCTGCTGTCTAGCATCTTTGACTAATGAAGGAAAGTCGAAGTTCAATGAGAATGCCCCATTTGCGGGCGTGTTTGAGAGGCAGCTCTCATTATGCCAAGAGGCAATTTGTTATGGGTAAATTGTAAGAAAATGTCGTGGGAAGTGGCAAGATGTAACACCTAATTGGGTCGCCCGAGCTGTTAGTAACAGAATTCTGTTACATTTGCATCTCAGAGCATCGATGGCACAACTGTACGAGTGATTGGCCGCCGTCAGCATATTCCGCATATCAAATTACCATAGTTCAGCCCTTTGGCATTTAAGCTGGATGCAAAGCCGTTAAAGCGCCCAAAAATAAAAGGTGAAATGCGTAAATTACAGTGTCAACATTACAACGCCCACTTTGCCCGTTCGTTTGATTCTCTTTCGGGGTGTCCCGCCGTGAAATGCATTATTATGCACAATGAAAAGCGAAACCCAAGCCGCACCTTAAGGGTGCATCATGTTGGTTACGGCTTTTTGTGTATGTAAATTTTCACTAAGCTGTTGAATGGAAATAGGAAAGGGAAAGGGAAACGGCACACTGACTTTGGCCATTGAAGTCTAGCCGTAATGTAACTCCCTTCGGAGCGGGACCGTGGCCTGAACCAGTGCTAGAAAATATTAGCAGGGCCCGACAACTGTCAACTGGACATGACAGCGTGCCATCAGTCATCAATCATGGAAGGGTTTTCAGTCGCTTCTTGGCTTCTTTATTGTCTGCGTCAAAAACAATGTAATCATCAGGGCTTACAGCGGATTTGCCAACCCTCGCCGACAGCTGTCACTTGTAGTACAGTTGAGGCACTCCAAGGATGCCGCCTCGTCCTTCCCGATTGAACATTGTCAATAAATGTAATCGCATCGAACCACTGCCACAGACGTCATTGTACAATGTTTATGATCTGTCATCCAGGCGCAAAATATTTATCACTCTCGGGAGTCGCATCCGTGAGCATCCTCCTCAACCACCCCTAATTATAGTGCATTGTGGCAGTGCAGCTCTGGGCTCCTCAGGCAGGATACCGAATGCATTTCGTCCACTCTCTGACCCTTCGTCGGTCTGGGTAACTTGCAAATGTTAATGCAAATGCGAATGCAAATTCAGGCGGAATAAATGACCGGCCTCCCCCCTCCACAGGGACCACATACCGCTTTGATTCATGTTCATGCGAGAGCCGACAGTTAATTACAGTTTATTTTGTTGTTTCCTCTTCCCAGCCCACCTCTAAGGTTCTCGATTGCACACAAATACTCATTAGACTTCCGTTGCATTTCGAGTTTTTTGTTTGTTTTAATACCCTGCCGAGAGGAGATGACTAGAGGAGGTGTCTTTTGAATTTACATTTCAAACGCTTCAAACCTCTACCTAATTAGTCAGACGAAAGGGTATTTGTTTAGACATCGACTAGTTCTAGCATTTGCGTTTCGTTTTGTGCCTGTTTTCCGCTGTGCAATCCGCTTCCGTTTCGCTTTGCATCTGTTCATGGTTTGTTCTCTCTGCTGTTTATCTACTTGTCTTATGACCATTACTCGTACTGTGCACTGCAAACACAAACCAATTGAAAACGAAATAAATTCGAGCAACTAAATTGTGTTTGGCCAAACTGCTCTCCTTCCTGCCTGTCTGTCCTTGTGCCATTTTGGGCGGCAT